ATATATATATATATATATATATCTAGAGAGCGAGAGAGAGAGATGAGTGAAAAGAAACATGTAGATTTCGACAATAGTGATAGCAGCAGGAGCAGCGGGGGTGATCACCCGTATGAAAGGCATATCCCACTCCAACAAGAGTCTCCCGTTCGTCCTCACGAAACTCCCATCCAACACAAAGAACAACAACAACAAGAAAAAGAAAAAGAAGAAAAAGAAAAAGAAGGGAAAAGTGCACCGACGACTGCTGCTCGTCCCTCTCAAATCGCTCTTTTTCAATTCGGTGGTGGACGGAATACCACAAATAACACTCCTGCTGCTGATAATAACAACAATAACAATAACAATCATGAGAGTCCAAATAATAACGCCATCAAGATACGAAAGTTTGGGGTCTTTGATGATGTCACCACCTCCTCTGAAGACTCCTATAGTGTAAGTGAAGTAAAGAAACCCGAACGTAAAGAAGTCCCTACAGCAGTTGTTGAAAAAACACCGGTAGATCCCGCTGTGAATACATCCACAACAACAACAACAACAACAGCTGCTCCAAGGTTATCTACTACATCTATTGATGTGGATATAGCAAGGCGCTCTAGTATAGATCATAGTAAAGATATGAAAGAAATTGCAGCCGTGATGGCCGCTCAGGTTAGAGAACAACAATCACCACCACCAACAGCAATAGCAATAACAGCACCACCAACAGCAATAACAGTAGTAACACCAAAGGGAACTTTGGCTTCCCCTTCCTCTATTTATTCTGCTAGTACACGATCACATACAGCAAGGCCAGATTCACCAAGGAGTCCACCACATGTGAAAAAAAGTGTGTATAGACAAGAACAAGGGCGTACTCAACGCGGTGATGTCTACGATGATGATGATAATAATAATAATAATGATAATGATAATAGGGTACAGGATAAGAATAGCAACAATGTTAATGTTAATGTTAACAAGAAAAGTGAGGAGGACAAGGAGAGTAGGGACTACTACTACTATGATGATCTAAAGGTATTCAAACCTCTTATAACATGTATAGATAATTTATGGAATTCTGCAGAAGAAACCAATAAAGGCATTCTTGTGATGTTTCTCGTAACTATGATGTCATTTGTCCTCACTATTGTTTCTTATCCACTCTCACAGGTAGATGTGACTGGTGGGAGTTGCTACACCTACTGGGGTTACAAAGAGAACTGTGACTCTATTACCTATACAAATCGCACTGCCTATATTGAATGTTCGCCGATTCAATCAAGATTAAATGTTGGAGCTGCCTTTGCAAGCATGTCCCTTATTTTACACTTTGCTGCGTTAGGATGTATTATAGCATTAATGAAGAAGAGTGATCTTCGTTTACTCCGTATAGTCACGGCTGGGATATGTGGTGTTATATTTTTTTTTCAGCTTATCGCTTGGGCTGCTATTGCTGGTATATACACATCGCGGTACTGTGAGAATACCACTCTTCCACGGACTACGACATATGGAGTGGGATTCGGTATGCAGTTAACATCATGGTTTTTACTCATGATTGACATGGCAGTCTCGGTTTTGTTTTTTGTACGCTAGAGGTAAAGAGATAGAAAGAAAGAAAAAAAAAATAGATTTTCATTTATTAAAAATCAAATATGCATTATGTCCGCTATTATGACTTGCTATTGTTTCTTCGTTTGTTTACAATATATATGTGAATTGATGTAGTGGTATAGAACTACAATATTGTTGCTGTTTTTTTTTTTTTTTTGTGATAATTTACCGTATGTAGTTCGATCAGATGGATTTGAGAGAGAGAGATTACATATATATATATCTGTATGTTTTTCTATTTTTCTTGCTATTTTCTTTGCTTTTTATTTTCTTTTTTAGTGCCCTTCAGTTTCACGATCGTATAATTGTGCCACCACCATCTCCTCCCCCTCCTTCCCTTTGACCTCCAAATGGAGACACGGATCTCTCTCTCTCTCTCTCTCTCTATATATATATATATACAAATATATATATATATATTTATATGAAATCTATCTTCTTTTCTCTTTTCTTCTCCTCCACCACAATCACATAGTCTCCCTAACACAAAGTAGAAAGACTAAATACAAATTACCTTTTTTTATTTTTATTTTCATTTATATACAGATGACGGAGCCCTTCCCGTACGCTGTGGTGGTGACGGACCTTGACGGCACACTACTCTCACCCAGTAGCACTGTGACGGCCCGCTCCCGTGCGGTACTCTCTCGCCTCTCGCAGGCCGGTGTTTACATCGTGTTGGCCACTGGCCGTATTCACAGCGACGTGGCGTCTATTCTGTACAATATGCATTTGCCGCAGCCGGGATATCTCGTCACCTCCGGTGGTGCGCGGGTACATTTAATCGGCTCTAAACAAGAAGAGAAAGGCACTACTACTACTACAGGGCTTCCTCCAATGGAACTTATCGTGGAACGCGATGTGGAGCCGGAAGTGGTGTGTGATCTGCTGCAGATGATCCCACCAGGTGAGACGGAGATAAATATATATATGTATCAAGGAGATGACTGGAAATGCACTCTCGACTGGCATGAAGAACTTGAAAACTACAAGGATAGTGGATTAAGATATACATTGGTAGACCCACAAGAACTCGTACAGGAGTATCAGGAATACCTAAAGCACCAGAAGGAAGAAGAAGCGAAAGGAGGTGTTACCAATAACGGTACTTCTCACAGGAAGAATCCCCTCGCAGGAATGGGGAAAGTGGCATTTCTTTCCGATAATGTTGAACGGCTACATGCACTTGAACGTGATATACTACAGAAATATCCAAAAAGGGTAGAAGTGGTGTTTTCAGCCACTCACTGCCTTGACGTGTGTGGAGCGGGTGTGACGAAGCGGAGTGCTATTGAGGCATTACTGCGGCGACTCCCACAACAGAATGGGGCTCCACTGACGATGGCAAACTGCATTGTCTTTGGGGATGGTATGAATGATAAAGAGATGCTGGCGGCTGGGGCGAAGGGGTGTGTGATGGGCAATGCAAATCCGAGACTGAAGGCCCTTCTACCACAGATGGAGGTCATTGGGACCAATGCAGAGGATGGGGTGGCAAAGAAGCTGGAGGAGGTTTTCAAACTTGAATAATTTAATGAATGTATGTGTGGTTGTGGTTTATTTTTTATTATTGTGGTGATGAGTGATGGGTGATGGGTGATGATACTGATAGGAGGTTTTCTTTTATCTTTCGTTCAT